TATATATATATATATATATATATATATATATATATATATATATATATATATATATATATATATATATATATATATATATATATATATATAGGGGGCCGGTTCCTGTGAGAATGCACCTTGTGGAGAGAAATGAGAATGAAATCTAGCCGTTGGATCTGATGCATCGTGCGGCTCAGATTGCATCCTGCGCTCAAATTTTGAGATAGTGCATTTTCAAAGGATTATGATGCATTTCAACGTGATGCATTTTCAAACCATTGTGTTGCACATAATTTTGATGCAATCCTGACCCTTAGATCCCACAATCTAAAGCACCAGATTTATTCTTATTTCTCTCCTAAGATCGCATTCTCACCAGAACCAAAATCTATATATATATATATATATATATATATATATATATATATATATATATCGATGTGAAAAAACATAAATATTACTCCCTCCGTCCTAAGACTTTCTTCCCAGAGCACTATTCCAACTTCACGAGAATTTATATTTATTTGTGTTTTTTCATGGCCTATATGATAAAATAAAATATTCTTGTCACCACTTGTTTTGTTGAACTTTTAATGTAGTTTTTAAATATGTATGTTTTATTTTTTATTTCTATACCAATATTTAAATAAAATAGATTGAAAAAACTTGGGATTTTTCTTCGTTTTGCACAACTGGAAGAAAGATATAGGAGGGAGGGAGTAATGTGTATACAATTGTATATAGTGTGACTCGACCCGTATATATATAATACGGTACGTACCTCACCTCAGAAGAACTCACAGTGATTGAGTTGGGAGAACATGTAACTTATAAAGAGTAAATATTGGCACCTCATCATAATTCTGGATTAGAATATTGAGTTCGGAGAACATGGTGCAAAGAGTTTTCAAACTCTTTCAGACTTTGGGACATCAATATTTTATTATTTCAAAATCTTCTCCAGACTTTCAAAAAAACTACTCCAATCTTTTGACTCTTTTAGAGTTTGTCACATCAGTATTATACACTATCTTTTCTATCAAATTTATTTATAAATATAATCAATCATAAAAAATGTAAAAACATAAAGTTATAGAGAAATTTATATAATTGTTCGATCAAGTAAACACACATAAGACGTAAATTGCATAAATTTAATAAAATTTAAAATACAACAAATTAAATTTAAGGAGGACATATGTAAACATAATTGAAATGTAAAATGGAATGACATTTACTCTTTGTGTTCTATGTTTTATGAGAAATTTACCTAAATAGGACTAAAACATAATGATTTTTCCAATATAGAACCATATGTTTTTATTTCTCAATGTAGAACCTTTGGTCATTATCAAGTAGTCATTATTCAACTAAATGTCCATCATTACAGGACATTATTCCTCCCACTAGGTCATTATTAAGTCCTATTTAGAGAATAAAAAAGTTTAAGTTCTACATTAAGAAAGTCATTATGTTTTAGTCCTATTTAGTGCAAATTTCACATGTTTTATTCCGAAAAAATTAAAACCGTATACAATTACGTAAAAGAATGTGTTTTGTTCGTAAAAAGTAAAATATAAAATTGCATAAAATAAAATTACAAAAAAGTATAACAATAT